CTCGTACTACCATTATATAAATACACGACTACTACTAGTATTACTTGTACTACTAGTGCTACTGGTACTACTAATACTAGTAGTACTACTACAAGTGCTATTCATATCACTACTACTACTACTACTACTACTACTACCACTACTACTACTACTATTACTGCTGCTACTACTACTGCTATCACTACTGATACTACTACTACTACTACTACTACTACTACAACCATAACAACAACCATAACAACAACCATAATAACAACAACAACAACAACTACTACTACTACTCTTAATACTATTACTAGTACTCCTACCACTCCGGCTACTCCTGCTACTCCTACTCCAGTTACTACGACGACTAGTACTACTTCTACTGCTCTTACTACAACTACTACTGCTACTGCTACTACTTCTCTTACTACTACTACTGCTACTAATTCAGACCGTGTAGGCTTTGTACAGGATCCCATACAGGGCATGTAGGCTCTGTGTAGGATCCCGTACAGTCCGTGTGGGTTCCGTATATGATCCCAAGCAGGCCGTGCATGCTGTGTATAGGATCCCATACAGGGCGTGTAGGCCCTGTATAGGATCCCATACAGGGCGTGTAGGCTTTGTTTAGGATTCCGTACAGACCGTGTAGGTTTTGTTTAGGATCCCGTACAGACCGTGTAGGCTCTGTGTAGGATCCCATACAGGCCGTGTAGGCTCCCCATTGGATCCCACACAAGCCGTGTCGGCCCCGTCTAGGGTCCCATACAGGGTGTGTAGGTTCTGTTTAGGATCCCGTACAGAGCGTGCAGGCTCTGTGTAGGATCCCATACAGGGCGTGTAGGCTCCGTATAGGATCCCGTACAGGCCGTGTATAGGATCCCGTAGAGGCCGTGTCGGGTTTGCATAGGGTCACATACAGGGCGTGTAGGCTTTGTATAGGATGTCGTACAGGCCGTGTAGGCTCTGTATAGGATCCCAAGCAGGGCGTGCATGCTCTGTATAGGATCCCATACAGGGCGTGTAGGCTCTGTATAGGATTCTTTTCAGGCCGTGTATGCTCCGTATTTGATCCCAAGCGGGCCGTGTATGCTGTGTAGAGGATCCCACACAAGCCGTGTAGGTTTTGTATAGGGTCCCATACCGGGCGGGTATGCCTTTGTGTACGATCCCATACAGGCCGTTTCGGCTCTGTATAGGATCCGTGACAAGGCGTGCAGGCCCCGTCTAGGATCCCATACAGGGCGTGTAGGCTCTGTTTAGGTTCCCGTACAGACCGTGTAGGCTGTGTGTAGGATCCCATACAGGGCGTGTAGGCTCTGTATAGGATCCCACACAGGCCGTGTAGGCTCTGTTTAGGATCCCGTACATGCCGTGTAGGCTTTGTATCGGATCCCATACAAGGCGTGCAGGCTTTGTGTAGGATCCCGTGCAGGCCGTGTAGGCTCTGTATCGGATCCTAAGCAGGCCGTGTAGGCTTCGCATCGGATCCCATACAGGGCGTGTAGGCTCCGTAATATGATCCCATTCGCGGCGTGTAGGCTCCGTATAGGACCCCGTGCAGGCCGTGTATACTCCGTGTAGGATCCCATGCAGGCCGTGTCGGCTCTGTATAAGATCCCATACGGGGCGTGTAGGCTCTGTATAGGATCCCTTACAAACCGTGTAGGCTTTGTATGGGATCCCATTCAGGGCGTGTAGGCCCTGTATGAGGTCCCACGCATGCCTTGTAGGATCTGTATAGAATCCCATACAGGGCGTGTAGGCTCTGTGGAGGATCCCATGCAGGCCGTGCAGGCTCTGTATAGGACCCCATAGAGGTCGTGTAGGCCCCATATTAGGGTCCAATACAGGGCGTGTAGGCTCTGCATAGGATCCCGTACAGGCCGTGTATGCTCCGTATATGATCCCATACAGGCCGTGTGGGCTCTGCATGTGATCCCACACAGGGCGTGTAGGCTGTGTTTAGGACTCCGTACAGGCCGTGTAGGCTCTGTATGGGGTCCCATACAGGTCGTGTAGGCTTTGTGTAGGATTTCGTACAGGCCGTGTAGGCTCTGTATAGGATCCTAAGCAGGCCGTGTCGGCTTTGTATCGGATCCCATACAGGGCCTGTAGGCTCCGTATTCGGATCCCATACAGGCCGTGCAGGCTCTGTATAGGATCCCATACAGGGCGTGTAGGCCCCGTATAGGATCCCATACAGGGCGGGCCGGCTCTGTAACGGATCCCACACAGGCCGTGTAGGCTCTGTTTAGGTTCCCATACAGAGCGTGTGGGCTTTGTATAGGATCGCATACAGGGCGTGTACGCCCTGTATAGGATCCCACACAGGCCGTTTAGGCTCTGTATCGGATCCCAGGAAGGCCGTGTATGCTCCGTATAGGGTCCCGTACAGGGCGTGTAGGTTGTGTATAAGGTCCCACCCAGGCCGTGTGGGCTCTGTTTACGATCCCGTACACGCCGTGTAGGCTCCGTATAGGATCCCGTGCAGGGCGCGTAGGCTCTGTATAGGATCCCGCACAGGCCGTGTAGGGTCTGTTTTGGGTGCCAAACAGGGCGTGTAGGCTCTGTATAGGACCCCACGCGCGGCGTGTAGGCTCTGTATAGGATCCCGCACAGGCCGTGCAGGCTTTGTACGGGATCCCATACAGGCCGTGTAGGCTCTGTATGGGATCCCAAGCAGGCCGTGTATGTTCCGTTTAGGACCGCATACAGGGCGTGTAGGCTCTGTATAGGGTGCCGTACAGGCCGTGTAGGCTCTGTATGGGATCCCGAACAGGCCGTGCATGCTCTGTATAGGATCGCATACAGGGCGTGTCGGCTCTGTATAGGATCCCGGACAGGCCGTGTAGATTCTGTTTGGGATTCCAAGCAGGCCGTTTATGCGCAGTCTAGGATCGCCTACGGTGCGTGTGCGCTTTGTATAAGATCCCATACAGGGCGTGTAGGCTCTGTATAGGATCCCACGCAGGCCGTGTAGGCTCTGTATGGGATCCCATATAGGGCGTGTGGGCTCTGTTTAGGATCTTATACAGGGCGTGTAGGCCCCGTATAGGATCCCATACAGGGCGTGTGGGCTCCGTTTAGGACCCCGTGCAGGCCGTGTAGGCTCTGTATAGGATCGCATACAGGGCGTGTAGGCCTTGCATAGGACCCTGCACAGGCCGTGTAGGCTCTGTATAAGATCCCGTACAAACCGTGTAGGCTCTGTGTGGGATCCCATTCAGGGCGTGTGGGTTCTTCATAGGATCCCGTATAGCCGTATAGATCGTGTAGGTTCTGTATAGGATCCCTTACAGGCCGTGAAGGCTCTGTATAGGATCCCCTACGAGGCGTGTAGGCTTTGCATAGGGTCCCATACAGGGTGTGTAGGGTGTGTAGAGGGTTCCACACAGGCCGTGTAGGATCTGTATAGGATCGCGCACAGGGCGTGTAGGCTCTGTAAAAGGTCCCACACATGCCGTGTAGGCTCTGTATAGGATCCCATACAGGCCGTGTAGGCTCTGTATGGGGTCCCATACAGTGCGTGTAGGCTCTGTATAGGATCCCATACTGGCCGTGTAGGCTCTGTATAGGATCCCGTACAGGCCGTGTAGGCCTTGTGTAGGATTCCAAGCAGGCCGTGTAGGCTCTGTATCGGCTCCCGTACAGGCCGTGCAGGCTGTGTATAGGATTCCACACAGGCCGAGCAGGCTCACTATAGGTCCCCCCAGGGATTCCTTAGGGATTCCCCAGGGAATCCTCGGATTCCGTATGGATTCCGAAGGATGCCCGAAGGTCGCTTCGCCGGAGCGCACATCGATTCCAATCGCAAAAATACGTGGAGGTGCGTAGGGGTTGTCTCAGGGATTCTATGGAATTGGTGTTGGTGTTGGTGTTGGTGTTGGGGGGTGGTGGTAGTGGGTCCACGGATCGTCAGTCCACGTGTTCGCCCCCATGGGTGAAGGCGTGAACTGTCGGGCTGTGGACGGGTGGGGGTCCTAGAGGGTCCGTAGGGATCCCATAGGATTCCTACAACATTTCCTACAGGATACTTTTAGGGTGCGTAGGGATCCTAGTTCGGATTCCTACAGGATTCCTACAGGGTCCTATAGGATTCCCATACGATTCTTATACGAGTTCTTTAGGGTTCGTAGGGATCCTCTAGGATTCTGATAGAGGAGGAGGAGGAGGAGGAGGAGGAGGAGGAGGAGGAGGAGGAGGAGGAGGAGCTCGCTTCGCCGGCCCGCGTACGGTTTTCGCACACAGGTGTGCGTGGGGAACAGTAGGGGAGCTGTCGTAGATTTCGTAGATTGGGGAACGCATATAGATTTACGTGATTATCGTAAGCGTATGACACAGGTGTTGCGTGTTGCTCCTCCCCCCCCTGGGCAACAACAGCAACGCTTGGCCCAGGAGGGTGCGCTCGCCCTGCGGGCGAGGACGCCACCACGGGACCCGCCGGCTTGGCCTAGAGGGTTGTCCTTGCGTTGTTGTTGTTGCTGCTGTTTATGTTGTTGTTGTTGTTGTGGTTGTTGTTTCTGCTGCTGTTATTGTTGCTGTTATTGTTGCTGCTGTTGCTGCTGCTGTTGTTGTTGTTGTTGCTGCTATTGTTGTGGTTGTTGTTGCTGTTGTTGTTGTGGTTGTTGTTGTTATTATTGTTGTTGTTATGATGGTTGTGGTGGTCATGTTGTTATTGATGATTATACGTAATGCTGATGCTTATGATGATGATGCTGCTGATGATGATGATGGTGATGGTGGTGGTGATGACGATGACGATGACGATGATGATGGTGATGGTCATGATGATGATGATGATGATGATGATGATGCTGATGATGATGATGATGTTGATGATGGTCATGCTGATGCTGATGCTGATGATGATGATGATGATGATGATGATGATGATGATGATGATGATGATGATGATGAGGATGAGGATGAGGATGCGGATGATGATGATGGTGTCGGGGATGAACATGGGCTGGGAACAGGGTCTGCACGCACAACACAGCTCGTGTGACCAGGTGGTGGGGCAAGGACGAGCAGTACTTTATGGTGCCGAGCGGGAGGTTTCCTCTTTCGCTGGGATGCCGACAGGGCTCGCGACCCTCACGGGGCGAATGGACGCCTCCGACGAGTGGCGTGGTTTCCATTCGGAGGAGGAGGATGAGGAGGAGGAGGAGGATGAGGAGTAGGAGGAGGAGGACGAGGAGTGGATCTGTCTAGCGGCGGGGGCTCACACTTGCGTAACGCAAGCAGCCGTGAGGAATGCATGCCGCCAGGGCCAAGTCAGGATGCGTCGAAGAAGAAAGGTCCCGATACGTCGAATAAACAATTATTAATCGCTTCGCTCATTCCGCCGGCCCTGGAGCGCTATTTGGGACCTCTTGGGGCCGTCTTGGGGCTTCTTGGGGGCTTCTTGGGAGCGTCTTGGGGCTCCTTGGCGGCGTATTGGGCTCCCCTGGGGCCTCTTGGGGGGCTCTTGGGGGCCCCTTGGGGCGGGAGGGGGGGTAGTCGATTGCAGCCCCCCCTCGGAGGCCACGATCCTCGTGAGGGGTGGCGAAAAATAGCCAGGGATCAGCCGGGGATCGGCCGGGGTACTTGTCGTCCAGGCCCCCCAGGGGCCGCCCCGCGCGCGCGAACTAGAAATACTGTTCAGTAGTTACTGGGGATCTTAGCACGCCTCTGGCCCGTTGGGCCGGCGAATTGGTTACACCTACCCTCTTGCCATAATACAATACCAATTCTTGGCGCTTCGGTATCCCCACAAGCCCATCCAGAAACGATGCCACGGTGAGTTGCCTTTCAGAGTCTCTTCGGATGTTTCTTGGAAGCCTTTTGGAAGCCTCTTGGAGCATCCTGGGGGCCTCTGAGCGATCCTGGAGGCCTCTTGGAGCGTGTTGGGTACCTCGGGGAGCCTCTTGAGGCCTCTCGGGGGCCTCTTGGAAGCCTCTTGGGCGCCTCTTGGGGCCTCCTTTGGCGCCTCTTGGGGCCCTCTTGGAGCCCTTTTGGGGCGCTGCTCTTGGGAGCTTTGGAGGCGCTCTTGGGGCCATCTTGGAGGACATCGATCAAAGAAGGGGATGGTCGCAATTCGCCCTTCCCCTCGGGAGCCCCAACAATCCCCTCCTGGACCCCTCTTGGGGCGCTCTTTGGGCCGTCTTGAGGCTCTCTTGGGCTCCTCTTGGGGCCTTCTTGGGCCATCTTGGAGCCATCTTCAGGCCTCGGAAGGCTATCGGAAGCGAACGGGCGACGATGCACACAAATCATTGGTTTTCCTTCTGTTTTTGAAGGGTTTTGGCTTCTTGGAGGCCTCCTTGGAGCTCTCGGAGGCCTCTTGGAGCCGTCTTGGAGCGTTCTTGGTCTTGGAAGCCATATTGGGCCATCTTGAGATATCTTGATCCATCTTGGAGGTCATATTGGGCTCTCTGAGGCGCTCTTGGAGCCATCTTGGGCGAAAAAGCGCCGTCTGACCGCTCGCGAAACCTCGTGTCCAGGTCCAGGGGAGGGGGTAGGGGGAGGGGTCAAGACTCCCTCCCCGCCCGCAAGCCGTCTCGCTCACTCCCACCCGCCCTCCCAACACATACGTAGCACCCGAGCCTGGCCCGAGCCGCAGCATATTCAGCAGTCGTCTTTGGATGGGCAGCTACTGGGGGCGAATCCGCCGCCGCCGCCGCCTCCGCCGCCGCCGCCGCCGCCCGCCGCCGCCGCCGCCGCGCCGCCGCCGCCGCCGCCGCTGTCCGCCGCCGCTGCCGCTGCCCGCCGCCCGTCGCCGCCGTCCGCCGCCGCCGCGCCGCCCGCGCCCGCCGCCGCCGTCGCCGCCGCCGCCGCCGCCGTCGCCCCCGCTGTCGAATCGCGTCGCCGCAGCCGCTGCCGCCGCAGCCGCTGCCGCCACCGCTGCCGCCGCCGCCGCCGCCGCCACCGCCGCCGCCGCCGCCGCCGCCGCCCCCGCCGCCGCCGCCGCCACCGCCGCCGCCACCGCCGCAGCCGCCACCGCCGCAGCCCCCGCCGTAGCCGCCGCAGCCGCCGCCGCCGCCGCAAAGTGTACTTTGTATGGTTTTTTGACAGGGATGGTGGGGGGAGGTCACATCGGTTTCGCTGCGCATGCTCCGAATTTGGAGGCAGAGTGTGTTTTGTATTGTTTGTTGCAAGGGATGGTGGGGGGTGCCCGCATTGTCCCTGGTTGGCTCCCAGTCGCCTGGGGGAGGGGGTGTATACTAACAGGGAACATTGATCAAGCTACCCACCCGCCAGCAAGCCGTCTAGCTCACTCCCACCCGTTCTCCCTACACATAAGTAACACCCGAGCCTGAGCATGTTCAACGGTCGTCTTTGGATGGGCAGCTACTTGGAACCAAAGCCGACCCCAGGTGTGCGACGCTTGGGCGATGTGCGCCACGCGTGCCAGGGGCGCCACGCGCGGCAGGCACCCCTGGGGCCCGAGCGTGCCAGGCACGCCTTGTGCGCCGGATGCGCCACGTGCTCCGGGTGCACTACGTGTGCCGCACACTCCAGCCGTGCCAGGTGCGCCGCGTTCGGGGCACGTGCAGAGTGCGTCAGGTGCGCCCGCGCACGTGACGGCACACATCGGGAAACATGTCGGCCCCCGCCATCCTTGTCGAAAACCGATGCCCATCATTGTGTCTGGTGGGCCTGCGCACAGCAGCTCCAAATGTGGAGGCAGAGTGCGGTTTATATTGTTTTTCGACAGGGGTGGTGGGGGGCGGGTCGGCATGGTGTCGGCATGGTTTCGGGTTGGCCCCCGGTCGCCTGGGGGAGGGGTGTATATCCATAAGGAACCGTGATAAACCCCACCCCGAAGGGGAAGAAAGGGGGTGGAAGAGGAAACTTTCTAAACCACCTACGCCTAGAGGGCTGGTGGGATTTCAAGGCGACGCTCCTTCATCCCCCATTCTCTGGGCTCCTGGCTTTGCTGGCGACCGTTTTATTTTATCTCCTCCAGCAACATAGCATCGACGCCACACCCAAAGGATCGCAGGCGTTGCCAGGGGCGTCCAAAACAGTCCGAGCTGGCCTAATTAGGCGTCGTTGTGTCTCTTGCTTGTGCGCGATGTCCTTGCATTTGTCAGACGAGGTGGCACATGACGAGGTCAACATGAGCCCGAGCGCGAGACTATGGGTGTACGCAGTCTAGTCGCTCGATGCAGATGCTTTGAGAACAGAGACGGAGATGAAAGAAATGATGGCAATTTGTTCCAAGGGAAGGGGTTCGACAGTCGCTCTTGGCGGAATGCCCCCCAAGCACCAGGATTCGTGGATGCCAGTCTCCCGGTTTTTTGTGACTGCTTTCTCTCGTCCGCTGTTGCTGCGTACAATGACGCCTCGGTCGACCTTCTGCCCCTGCTTCATGGTGGAAGCTTCTGGCCTAATTCGGAGACCCAGCGCTGTTCGCCCTGCACAGATTTGTTGAAGGATCTTGCTCGTGTTCGCTCGGAGTTGAGGATGGGCCTACAATTGCTCCTTGCGTCCGCCTGGGACTAGGGGAGGCTCAGAGTGGCGTCCAAGCTCCTCCGGTGGGCGCCGCTTGCTAAATCCTTGATCTACCACGCGTTGCGTCTCTGCTGCCACCCATGATCTTCTGTTCTCTCCCACCGCTTGCTGCACCTATCTTGTTGGCAATCCTACAGTCCGTCCCTTTCCTTCCCCCCCCCCTCCATCCCCCTCTGCTGCTGCTCCTCCTAATTCCCTTTCTCCTGATAAAGGGGATTCAAGTCGGACGATGATCAATCAAACAAGCGCCTCTCTGGGCTTTCCCCCGCCTCTAGCAGGCCAGGAAGTTCTTGACGCTTCTTGTATCCCAACTGGCACATCAAGAAACGACGCCCACAAGAGTACACTGGAGAAGAGAGGACGAGACACACCTAGTAGAACAAAAGGGGGGAACGAGGGTGAACTGCTCGATCTCTGGGAGCAGGGAGGTTCCGTGGATTGCCTCTTGGGGTCGTCTCCTGGGCCCGCGTGGGGGACGATGGAAGGGATGATGAGGAGGAGGAATAGACGAAACGGAAGGGGGAGGAGGAAAAGGACGAGAGGGAAGAGGAGGAGGAGGTGGAGGAGAGTTGGGAGAAAAAGGGAGAGGACAATGAGGGGGATGAGAAGGAGGAGTTGGAGGACGAGGATGAGGAGGAGGAGGACGAGGAGGAGAAGGAGCAGGGACAGGATCAGGAAACGTAAGTGGAGATGGAACGGACGAAGAGGGGGCGGACGAGAAGCACGAGGATGAAGGGGATGAGGAGGGGAAGAAACAACGGCGACGGCGGCGGTGATGACGGCAAGAATAGCAGCAAAATGATGCGGCGTCTGAGAGAAAGGGGGCGACACAGAAGCAGTGGGATAGAGGATCTGAGAGAACAACATCAACAACAACAACCACAACAACAACAATAACAACAACAACAGCAACAACAACACCACCACCAACAACAACACCAACAACACCACCAACAACACCAACAACAACACCAACAACACCAACAACAACATCAACAACAACAACACCAACAACAACACCAGCAACAACAACCATTTTAAGGCTGTACGCTCTTACTTGCCCGCGAGTCATTCAACACGTATACCCTACACCCTCGATACCCGCCCTCTTCGTCTTCGATCACACCCCTTTCGGGGGGATTATTTCTCTTTGCTGGGGCCGGCGGGCTTAGACGTACGGGCAAACCGGAACGGGCGGACAATCCTTCGGGGGCGTACATCTCTCTGCCCGCCATTGGAATTGGCGCGGGCCCTGCAAGAGGAGGAGGGGAAGAACGAGGGAGAGTGGGAGGAAGGGGAGGGGGAAGGACGAAGGAAGAGGGAAGATACCACGTTGTGAAGGCGTCCTTGGCGCGTGCGTGGTTCCTGAGCGCCGAAACGCAATTCCAGAATAATTTGTGAGGACGTCGCACGCGAGAGCGCAGTCCTGAGTACATTGTGAGGAAATCTCAGGCGGAAGCGGGGGCCCTGACTAAGTTGCGAGGAAGTCTCAAGCGGGAGCGCCGTTCCTGAGCAAATTGCACGGAAGTCTCAGGCGGGAGCGGGGGTCCTCACTAAATTGCGAGGAAGTCTCAGGCGGGAGCGCCGTTCCTGAGCAAATTGCACGGAAGTCTCAGGCGGGAGCGGGGGTCCTCACTAAATTGCGAGGAAGTCGGCGGGAGCGCCGTTCCTGAGTCAATTGCGCGGAAATGTCAGGCAGGAGCGGGGGTCCTGAGTAAAATTCGAAGAAGTCTCAGGCGGGAGCGCCGTTCCCACGTAAATTGCACGGAAGTCTCAGGCGGGAGCGGGGGTCTTGATTACATTGCGAGGAAGTCTCAGACGGGAGCGCCTTTCCTGAGTAAATTGCGCGGAAGTCTCAGGCGGGAGCGGGGGTCCTGAGTAAAAATCGAGGAAGTCTCAGGCGGGAGCCGTTGTTGTTGTAGCCCGGGGGGCAGGGGCACAGTTTGAGCAGGAAGATTTTCCTTGAGAAAAAGCAAGGTGCGAGTCCCGGGGGTGGCACTTCAATCGAAAAAAATCAATGTGCACCGGTGGGGGGGGATCAACAATAATTATTCTTCAAGAATGAGAGTTCTACGAGTGCGACGGCGGCGGTAATGACAGCGGGAGTCAGCCATTCAGGCTTTGCGCAATTTACGCTCTGGGAAGCTGTTGGAGCCACCTTTGTGTGCTCTTAGAGCCATCTCGGGATGACTTGTGCCATCTTGGAGGCCATCTTGGGCTATCCAGAGCCCTCTTGGATCCCTCTCGGAGTCATCTCGGGGCCCTCTTGCGGCCTTATTTGGGCCTTGTTGGAGCTCTTTGGGGCCCTGGGAGGCCTCTTGGGGCCATCTTGGAGGACACTGATCAACGAAGGGGGGTCTTACTCATGCCTGCCCCGCCGTCTCGAAGGCGGTGCTGACAGTCAGGGCTGCCATTTGTGGGGTCGCCCGCTCCCATCGCCCCTTGCTCTACGGCGCGCCAGGGGTGGAGGTGAGGGGGGGGCAGGCCTTCTCTGAGGGCAGTTGGGCATCGAGGAAGGCTCAGAGAGCTGCTCAGGAGGCCTCGAGGCCTCCTGAGCCTCCTGCCTCTGCCTTCCCCCCTGGGCGCGCCGCCGACTTCTGTCCTTGCCCGTCGTGCGTTCCGCTCTCCCTGCGTGCGTCTTCGACCGTATCCCTTTTCCAGTGCTTGGCCAGTGAAGCAGCAGCGACAGAGCTCGAATCCGTGTACCAGTTTCACTCTGCGATCGGACTGGGCTTCGTGTTCGTGTGGGACCTTGCCTCGCCATCTCCCTCCGCACGGGACGAGCTTCCCGTGGGCACTGAGATCCAAAGCTGCGACACAGATGCAACATCGCGACAAATCACAACGGGAGCCCTGGACCCCCATCTGTCTGCAGCACTTTTCGAGGCAGGTCGACCTGTGATGCTCCCAGGGGCCCGAAACTGTGCGAGAACGCCCAGCGCCAAAAACTTGCAGCGCCAGGATCCCCAGGACTGTCCTCGAGATGCGGGCCGGGGTCCAAAGTTCACCCGGTCCCAGAGCATTCGTCCGGCTCGCCGGCGGGGCGGCAGGGTGCACCCCTCCGCCAGTGGCGGGGCCCTCCTCTAGGGGAACGAACAATGACATGAACGTTAAAGCTCGGAGGTCCGCGCGGATTTCTCGGATCGGCGCTTGACCCCCAACTCTGGCGCGCGGAGCGCGCCAGGGACGGCGCCGGAGGCGCCGCCATAGGGGTCCATCTCGGACCTCCGAGTTTTTATGCTTTTGTCACTGTTCGTTCCCCTATCCTCGCATCTGCAGCGGCGGGCGTACCACCGAGCGCGCCGTCGTCGGGGTCGGTGTCTCTGCCTCGACGGGCTCGCGCCGTGAAGGGATCCTGGCGGGAGGTTTGGGGCCATTTTCGACCCGTCGGGGCCTTCGCTGGGCCCCAGGGCCGTCAAAGAACGACGCGGGATGAGAAGCCAGGCCGGGGGAATGGGTTGAGGTTTGTGATAGCCGAACCTACTCTAGCCCTGATCACCAGAAAGGATTTCGGGCACCAAGGAGGTACCGAAACTCAAGGGTTTTCACGTGTCGGGCCCTGGGAGGCGATGCTCGTTCGACACTGTTTCGATACTCTTCTGGGTGCTCGAGATTATTTCTGGGATGTGGTCCTTACGTACGACGGGAGCAAGAAGTCGAGACCTCTGGGGGTCGACGCCGCGGAAGAAGGATGACGACGGGGGTCCAGGCAGCCGTGTCCCTGGGCACCGCGGGCCTTCTGGCAGGGCAGTCCCGGAGTGTTGGCTTTTGGCAGGGGCAGCGAGAAGGGGGATACTTGGGCTCGTGGGGAGGAGGAGGAGGAGGAGGCGGAGGAGGAGGAGGAGGAGGAGGATGAGGAGGAGGAGGGGGAGGAGGGAGGAGGGAGGAGGGAGGAGGGAGGAGGAGGAGGGAGGAGGGTGGAGGGAGGTGGGAGGAGGGAGGTGGGGAGGCTGCGTCTGCCCCCAGGGTGCGGCCCACTCGTCGCCGGTGGCGGCCTGACAGCCCGCCCCTCCCTGGGACCGTGCGGCTCCCCAGCCGAGGGCCCGTCTCCGATCCGTCGGCGGTGTGCCGCCGCTTTCGGGTCGATGTTGACCCCCCCCCCCTCGCCCCCTCCCTACGGTTCCCTCGCCCCCCCCCCCTCGTCCCCACCATCTCCCCTTTTTCCTCCCCTCGCCCGTGTGGTTCCCCCTCGTCCCCACCGTCTCCCCGCTCCACTCCTGCCTTTTTTCCTGGTGCCCCTCCTCTCTGCGCACCCTCGGCTCGCCGCCGCGCGCCCCGCGCCCCAGCTGCGCATCAACGAGCACTACGTCTCCTGCACCAACAACATGCATGGCTGAGACGCGGCCAGCTCGTAGTCCTCTCTTTTTCCCCTCGACATCTCCTCCATCCTGATGTTCCGCTGCTCCCAGCTCCCATCTCTGGTTCTCCGCGGGTTCTCCTTCGCATTCTCCTCTTTCTGGCTCCCATCTTTTTGCCTCCGGCTCGTATGACTCCGACTTCCCAGCTCGGATCCCGGCACGCGTGCGCTGAGCATTTCAGGCTTTTGAACGAGCTGTGCCCCTCGGGGTCGTTCTCGGGAGGCTCCTTGGCCACTCGGAACCGCCTTGAGGTTCTTTTTTGTACTCTTTTTGCCTCTTGGCTGTCTTGTGCCGTTTTGGCCGTCTTTGGCTGCCCAGGGCCATCGTGGGCCACCTAGGACCTAGGACCGTCTTGGAACGATCTAGGGGTACGTTGGACGCTCGAAGCCCTCGCGGGGGGGGGGGGGGAGGCGTCCTGGCCCAGGGGCGGGCGTAGGGGTTTCCTCAACGGAATGCTTGGGCATGGAAGAGCTGACTTCCTACGCGGAGGGCTAGTGGCATTCTGTATGAGGGTGGCTTGGTTGGGTTGGGCCGTTGGCTGGTTCAGGACCGCTTGCGCTCTCGAGTCTCGGGGCCAGCGGAATAGCAACCGCCATCGCTGCCTTCGGCTTCGGTCATGGTCGTCATGGCCAGCCGTAGCTGGGTGGACGCTCTTAACCCTCCGTCGAGCTAAGTTCGCCCCCTGGCAGGGGATTGGTTGGCTTTTCTTGTCCACCGCCAAGTGCGAGGCTCTGCCAAAACGGAACTGCCGCGTAGCAACGGACCAACTTCAAGGGTCAGTATGCTCTTTCTGCTTCGTCCTTCGTCCCTTCCCCTGCTTCCGTCTATCCTTCTTTCCCGACCTGCCACGCTGCTTTGTCGCTCGCTCTTGCCTCGCATGTGTCTCACTTTCCCGCACTGTCACTTGCCTCCCGTCTGACACGCGTGTGCGAAACCGCGTCTAAACAATTGCCTCCCCTCCCTCCCTACCCTCCCTTCCTTTCTCCTCGTCCTCCTCACTTCTCCTCCCTTACCTCCCTCACTCCCTCCCTCTACCGAGGGCCTGTACTAGAACTGCTCGTCCCGACGTGGCTGGGCATACGCGCTTGTACAGTACGGCCTTGGAGTTCTGGCTGGCGTGTCAGGCAGAAGTGGCGTGGGAGTGGCTGGAAACGTCACCACGAATTTCTCAGGCTGCACGTGCGATGCGGTCCACTTTCCCAGCCACTTGCTCGGGCTGGCGAGAGTAGTAAAAACGTCAAGCCTAGTGCTCTCACGACGGCCTCGATGAGCGTCAGGATGTTTCGGACGCGGCCATACCTTGTCCGAGCATCTGTGCTCGGCGAGAGGTGAGGTAATCGCCAATCGCCATGTGCTCGTCGTCGACTGGCCCTGGGGCTTGGATGAGGGGAAATCGCCGCGGCGCCAGACAGGAAATTCTGCCTACAGGGCAAACTGAATGGCGGAGAGAGACGGCCAGCGAAGAGAGGAGGGGATTGCACGCGAGGGGAGGGGATGGGGAGGCGATGAAAGCTGCCAGAAGGGGAGTGTGGAGCTGTAGAATGCAATGGCTTTGCGAGCGCGTGCCGACTAGGGGCGAGGAGGCGTTGGCGGATGAGGAAGGGGAATGAGGAGCAGGTGGATGAGGAAGAGGAGGGCTTGGCCCGGTCTGGTCGGGGATTCGCGAAACGCCTCAACTCCTTGCGGGAATGCCCTATGCACAGGACTCCCGGCAGAGCCTCACCGTCGACCTGGCCCGGGCTCGCACGCACGGCGTGGGCCACGCACTGCCGCACTGCCCCTGGGGAGGAACCCAACCCGCCGGACAGTGAAGCGCGAATGACCTCCGAGTGCATTCTTTGTCGTCGTCGGCGCTACGCCAGGGCGGGGCGTGCCCAGCGTGGAGTCACGGGAAGAGGAGGGCACAGTGGGAAGGAGGCCATTCCACCCGCGTCGCTTGTCAGCAGCCAGCTGTACCCGGCCATGACTGCGGGCAACCAGCCGGGTGGGAGAGCGTCGGTGAATCCACTATGAGGGGCCACCAGGCGGCAAGCATGCGGGATATCAAGCGGAGTTGGGCTTGAGCACGGGTCGGCACTTGTCCGGGCCTGTCGCATTTGGTCGGATCTCACCATTGAGAAACATGGTGAGACAAGTTTTGGGTTCCAGGCGAAGTCACCATGTGCAATACAGCCAGGACTGCGATCTGCAGACGCAGCGTAGCCGACTGGTGAAGCACGCGGCAGCAGACGAAGGGGAACTGGTAACATCATAAAGGGCAGACGTGGATCGGAGCAGAAACGCAAGCATGGGGAGGCGAGGAGCAACGTAAGAAAGCAAGGCCCCGTTTTGTGATGCGCATGCTTCTTCCTCTCCTGGCCTTAGGCCTCGGGCTAGGGTCGGGATGCTACCAACAGGACAGGTACAGCATAAAAGCATTGGGCGCCATAGTTAGAGTCAGCATCATATACACATGCAGCACACATAATCTTTGCACTCATCGCTGCCACAAACATGGTACAGATTTTGTGCGTATCAATGTCCCTTCAACGGTGCTGGCTCAATATCTTCATGTGGTGTCAATGCCACTAGGCAAAGCATACCACGTATCTTGTTAGCCCGACAACATGTGGCCACCCAAGATATTCGCAGGAGACCGCATCTTGTCCTAAGAACAGATTACCAGCGTGGACCCCGAACACCATATTGGCATACTCTCGACGCGCAGTGTACGCGGCGCGCCCTACGTGGTGCTGAATTTTGTGCACGGTGCTGTTCATTCACATCGTAGAGCACCGCCCACGGACCACCAAGGTGAGAATGAGACATCGCAGCCATGCAGACATCATGAGGCATCAGCCGTAGAGCACGCCCGAAGAGCATGAGGGCAAGAACGAGAAAACACAACCATTGAGACATGGTGTGCGAGCTATTCAACAGCACCCAGGCGGGACCAAGACGAGAACGAGACACCGCAACTTTTAAAGCGCTCTAGGGCTTCGTCCACTGAGCACCGCTCTAGGGTATCAGGGCAAGAACGATAAACCACATGGTGAGGCACGATAGATCACCAGCCACGGAGTACTACCCATCAGGTACCACGGCAATAACGGTAGATCTCAACCGATAAGGCATCATACGATGCCGCCCAGATATCTAGTACCGCTAACAGAACTCCAGGGCACGACAGTGATCTCGTAACCGTTGAGGCATCATCACACGGTACTAAGGCAGGACTCAGTCGCAACCACCGTGGCATCATGGATCACCAACCATAGGTTATTTCCCATAGAGCACCAGGGGAATGCCAACACGTCACAAGCAATGAAGGATCACAGGGCACCAGCCGTATAACACTACCCATCAGGCACCAATGCAATAACGAGAGCTCGCACCACTTAAGGTCCTACAGGGCAGCAGCCATAGGTCAGAACCCACGTGGCGCCAAGTCTATCATGATAGGTCGAAGCCATTCGGCACCGTGTGGCGTCTCGTTAGCCCCGCCCATAGGGCAACAGGGCAAGGAAGATAATCGCAACCATTTAGGCATCACGGGGCACCTGCTACGGAGCAACGTCCACAGGGCACCAAAGCCAGAACACGCAAACAGGGCACCAAGCCGGTATGTTTCGATACCGTACCGGCCATAGAGCACTACCCGTGGAACACCAGGGCAAGACTGGGAACTCGCGACTGTTGTTTAGTCGCTTCGCTCATTCCGCCGTCTCACCTTGCATCACTGGTGCTATATGTTTGTGTGCTCGTGGCGAGCCGCCCCCCCAGGGGCTGGCCGCCCTGGTACGCCCGCGTCCTCGGTCCCCTCCCCCTGGGGCCGGGCACGTGCACCTCTCTCCCGACGACTGCACCAGCTCGGTGCCTCCCCATGCCCAGCCGCCTCCACGCGTCCCCCCGGGCGCCGTGCAGGCGTACCCCCCGCCACTTGCGGAGGCATGGCCTCGCTGCTCTGCACTGGGCTTTCCTCGCCCGCCCCTCCGCCCGGCGCCGCGCGCGTGCGGCACTCTGCTCCCCGCCTGCACCGTCTCGGTGCCTTCCTGCCCCCTGCCCCCGCCCACGTCTCTTTGGGGCTCCGCGGATGCGGTTTCACCGCTCTCGCTGGGGCCGTCGCCCTTCGCTCTGCACACCGCTGGCTCCCCCCACCCGCGGTCCGCTCCGTGGCCCTGGGGCCCTTGGCCGCTCTGCGCCTTCACCGGCCTGCCGGCGCCCCCGGCTGCCACGCACGGCGCCCATCATCGCCCGCCCGATGGCCGGTGGTCCGACGGCGGCCGTATCTCGTGCCGCACTCCGCGGACGGGGCCTCCGCCCCCCGCCTCTCTCGCCCCGCTTTCGCGTCGGCTCCGCGCTGGCGTGCCGCGCCGTCGTTCCGCTTCCCCCTTGGCGCCCCTCGCGCGGCCTGCTGGTGGAGGAGGAGGAGGAGGAGGAGGACGAGGAGGAGGAGGGAGGAGGAGGAGGAGGAGGAGGAGGAGGAGGAGGAGGACCCACCTCGGGGGCACACTCACAGAGACCGCACCGGTTCGGTGCCCTCGGCGCTCCTCCGGCGGCCCCTGCCCGTGCGGCGGGCCCGCCGCCCCTCGGCCCTCGGGCCGCGCTCCGCTCGCCTCGGGGCCTGGGCGGGTCTTGCCGCCCGTGCTTCCCCCCCCCGCTTTGCCTCGCTTTCTCGTCCTCCTCCTCCTCCTCCTCCTCCTCCTCCTCCTCCTCCTCCTCCTCCACCGGGCTGTGGCCTTGCGCTGCTCTGTTTCTGCGTCGTCGGCTACATCATCAGCCCTGCTCTCCCGCTCCGCCCGTCGCCGCGGGCCGCCGGCCCCTCCCTCGGGGAGCCTGGCGTTTCCTGCCTGCGTTCACCCTCTCTCCCCAGCTCGTCTGGCCTGGGTTCCCTGCTCTCCGCCACGGCACGCTGCCTCGCAGCTGTCCCCAGGCCCCCCCCCGCCAGCTGACGGCCCGCCGCCATTGGCTCCCCTCCCGGCGCCGTCCCTGCCAGCGGCAGCGGAGCTGGGGGCTGCTCAGGCAAACATGGATACCATGGTGGTTGTCAGGGCATCTTGG